GCGGGGGAGGGCTGGGACACCAGGCCTCGCTTCTTGGCTCCTCAGCGCCGCGGCGGGCATCGGGTCGTCGCTGCCAGCTCCCCCTTCCCCGGGGGGGAGAGCCTTGACTCCCCCTCGGGGCCAGAGGGCCGGAGCAGAGCCGCCTGGTGAGTCTGCCGGGGCTTGGCAGACACCCCCCACCCCCACGTTTAACACTCTTGCTCCCCCCCACCTCCTCCTCCTCCTCACCGGTCCCCACCCAAATGCAAAGAATGGAGCGGGGGGTGAACCCGGAGCCTGCCCCGGGGCATGCGGGGCCGCTGCGCGTCTGCATTGCAGATCGCAACCGCCACGGCAAACAGATAAGCTCCCCGAAAGTGAGCACAGACGGGGGGGGGAGGCAGGGGGGGCCACACTGCAGAGCGGTGCCTGTATTTCAGGGCAGAGGGCTCAAAGAACGACAAGATGCTTTTCCAGGTGCGACACCAAGGCTGGGACAGGCATCCCTGGTCTGCAGGCACACAGAGACATGGCATTTCAGCTTTTTGAAGCGTCTTTCCTCAGCCATCTGACACTTTTTTTTTTAATTTGATAGCTTCAAAAAAAAGTTTATTTTTGCTATATGCCAGGGGGAGGTGGGAGTCACCCAGTCAGATTCCAAAGGGAATGAGAGCAGTGCAGCTCTAAAAGAGCCTTATAAATCTTAGGGATTTGAAGCCAGGGCCTACAATCTGCTTGGGGAAGATAAACCCCTCCTCCACCTCCCATCTATTGCCACTTCCTTTAAGGAAATTAAAAACTTACTGAGAGGATCTCACAGCCCGGGAGTTACAAAATCTGGAAAACCACCTGGAAAAAGTAGAAATGAGGGTATGTGACACATCAAGCAAAATTCCTCACACCCCACCCCCCCCCAGCACAAGGAAACAGGATATAGGCACCTACCTGTTTGCAAAGGCAGAGGAATAGCTACTAACCTGGTGCACTGGTAGACTCTTTTGGAAATGATGGAGAGGGTCCTCCCCTGACTTCCATATATCCCCTCCTCCCCTGTTGAGTCATGATGAGAAATGAGCCCCAGCTGGTGTCCTGGGCCTATCGCTGCAGGGTAACACTAGGGTGCTGCTCCCCCGGAGGGCTCCTTGGAGGACCCACCTTTGATCACCTCCTAATTAACGGTGATTTAATTTCTCAGAATGCGGGCAGGATCCAGAAGGAGAGGTGGTTTGGAACACATTGGGAAAGTGATTATAGTCGGGTGAGAGGGATGAAATACAGAGCTAGAGCCCACTTCTCACCCCAAAGCACCCTGGGGTGCTCCCCCTGTCCTCAGAGACCCAGGCTGTGGGTTTCAGGGGGGTGGCTTGCTTGTTGCCATCAGCCCTGCTGATGCACACGTAGAAAGTGGTTGCACCTCGGATGCAAAGCTATTGTGCTCTCTGTTTTTGGGCGTGAGAGCTGCTGGTCCCCTGCGGACAGGGCTGCTCCCCGCGGGGACTCTTCAAGGTCACCAAAGACTTCGAAGTTGCAAAGACAGAAGAAAATTTGGAAAGACCAGCTTGTTGCAAAGACAGATGAAAAAGCAGGGTTTCAGGGTTTGGGGGCAGGGGTGTGTGTGCTGTGTCTACAAACCAAAGCCCTTGCGTTTGGTCGTCTCTCGGCAATGACAGCTTAAGGGGTGACCTGTGCCTGCTGCTGCAGCGTGCAGCTGGCAAAATAATTTTCTGTACTCATACCATACCATGGGCAAGGGCACCCAGCTGGAAGCCCTGCCTGGTGCTGGGGGGCTCCGGGGGGCTCTGCTGGCCCCCTCGAGCCTGCAGGAACTGCCGTCATCAGGGGGGACACGGCGTCGCGGGACACCCGCGGCAGAGGGATTTGCATTTTACAGCCGGAGTAACACCGCCTCCGCCGGCAAATCCTCCCTCCGGGAATTTTGTGTGTGTGGAAACGCAGCAGAACTGCTCATAGTTTGCAATTCTCATATATGGATCAGTTTTCACATATAGATCAGATTGCCTCTCAGAGACAGACCTGCTTTGTAGTGTGCATGAAACTGATTTCATTTCCCCTCTCTTTTTAAAAAAAAAAATGTTTTTTTGTTTGTTTTTTTTTTATTTTCTCATCCCAGTCATCTTCCATTCCCTTTGTTTTTATGCTTTAACCACCAAATCTCTTCTTTTCCATATATCCCCTTCCAGTGAGGATACTTTGCTCCCTCTCCCCAACCATACCTCTAATTAGGTGACCAAACATTTTTAATGCTTCTGTGAGAAAAACAAGACTTGTGTGAGTGTGTAAAACCATCTAAAGCCGGAATTAATTTAGGAAAATAAATCCAGTTATTTAACCCCCAAATAATGATACATATAAAAATATCTTGGGAAGGTAAATCCAGAAGTCACACAGGCACAGAGAATGCTATGGCAAGCAAGATGTAGATGTCTGAGAAGCTCCCCAGGGTGCTAGGTCTGGGACATCTGCCCTGTGGCACCATCAGACTGAAAACTGGAAACCGTGAATGTTTAGAGCTGATCTTATTTTTCAAAAAATACCTGTTGGGAATGACTCATGGAGCAGATACGAGTATCCGCTCGTGTTTCTTTCGAAGCCATTTTCAGCTGGAACAGCAACGCAGTTCAGATCTAGTCTAGTCCTGTTCTTCTCAACAGGGCCAAACAGCAGCAACAATTTGGGGGTTTTTGGCCCAAGCTTGTGTTCCACTCTCCCTTCATGCTGTGGCCACCCTCACTTTTGCAGTTCTCAATTCATTATATGCCTAATACTGTGGAGCATTAGTCAGGTGAGTAAGCATAAGCTGTCTCATTAAGTGTATGGAAGTGAATGTCACCACTTGCTGGGCTGAAGCATGCCTTAAAGCCTTTTCTGCAGTGCTTCAACAGCAGAGATAGAACTCAGGTCTAAAAGCAGTCTTGGCATAAGCACAGTTAAGACAGGGCCATGCCTGGAAGATATTTTCATTCTGCAAGTTCCCCCTGCAAGGGATCCAGCAGGAGGGTCACTACCTTCAGAGGGCTCAGCCTTGCGCTGAAGTGATGTGAACACACCATTTACACAGACTGGAGCTGGGGAAGCAGCAGCTGGCTCATACTGTAAATCCAGCTCTGCAGCCCATAGCACTGGGTCAGAAATGCTATGGGTTCCTACCTCAGACTGTCAACAATAATCTGTAAGGAACTTTTAATCAGAGAAACATCCTGGTGCATGGAAGCTTGGTAAAAATAGTTGAATGTAAATTAGTTTAACTGGAGATTAGAGCGTCCTTTGGAATAACTACCCTCATTATAATAGTAAAAATCACACCCGCTGTTTCGAAGACCCCTACTCGAACACAGACCCTCACCCTTCAAGTGTGCACAGAAAATTAAAAACTCAGTGTAACTTTAGATCGAAGTGAGCATGTTACTAACCAGTGAGGGATAGATGTGATACATAACTAACCAATAATCATCGTAGTAAATACGTAATCATGTAGTTTGGAGTGTATAAATATTTTAAAGCTCTTTTGTGTGGTGGAATTACTACCTAGCACCCATCTTTGTGCAAATATGGAATAAACTGGTATCTCGGCTCTGTGGGTGAGACTGGCTTTTGCACACCAGGTAACGAGCCCTGTTTGAGGGACAGTAAGAGCACTGCTAAACCCTTTAATCAGCAAGTTAAAGTTACACCGCTTGAGGTTGTCTCGATTTTTATGTAGATTGAAGTGCTCTCCTGCCCTCCTGTAGCCGGCTCAAACCTGGGTCGTCTGTGTTTTGGTGAATACTGTGAAGTGTCACTGAGTGTCGCTGTGTCACTCTGCTGATGTGCACGGGGCTCAGCAAGGCGGCAGGGTACAGGCTTGGTATTAGCGAACAGAGAACCATGGACTGAGCCCCACCGACCATCAGAGGTTTCCCTGGGAGCCATCAACCTCTGTCAGGGAAAGCAGGTAGAAACTAAAAAAAAAACCAACCAACCAAACCAAAACAAAAAACCCAAACCCCAACAAATTTTTCGCCCAGCACTTGGCTCCAGACAGCCTGTCCCCTGTAGCGCCATCACAGCTCACAGTCTGGACCCAAGATGTCATGTTTGTGGAAGGAAGAGGGGCAAGAAAGAATAACAAAAATTAGACCCTCATTCATATTAAAATACAGTTTTCCTTCTCTTGACTCTTTAGGGGAGCAGGTCGAGGAAAGGACAGAGCTCCTCCCTCCCATTAACAGCCCAGTCTCTCAATCACCTGAGAATTACTGGATGATGTGGCCCTTTGTTAGAAGCGGGGAGGCAGACTGGGACAGAAGAACCACGGCACAAAACCAAGCGACTCCCTGGAAAGACAGGAAAGCTGTGGCAAAAAAACACAGGTGGGAGTGACCCAGCCCATATTTCTCGGGTTTGATGGGTCTATTCTTTCTTTACCAACCTTTCAACCACGCCTGCCACTCACATGATGCTGGAGTGATGTCTGTAAGCACTCATCCCAGGAAGCGTTCCCTACCAGTGCCCATCAGCTGGAATATGGAATAGTTTCCCTAAGGGAGGACTTGCGAACGGCACAGCTTGGAGCCAGGGTTGTGCAAAATCCGGGGGAACCCTGAGAGATGGTGCATATTGGGCTAAAACCTTCCAAGCATCCTCTCCGCTTGAATTGTTCCTTATTCCCTTTAGTGATATTGTGGTTGTTCCTACAGGCTCCGTTAGCCGTCCCCTTACTAAAAGCAAACGGCACAGAGGTAGCTGTGTTCAGATGGTTTCTGACGTGTCTTTCACTAGGGGGGAATTAGCAAGTCCTGTGTTTCTCCCTGCACCTCCCACACTCTCCTCCTTAAGTCTGCTTTGTATCAGGCAGTTTGCCTTTTGTTCCCCAAACGCACAGCGCTTATGAACTTTGTTTTTTTTTTTTTTTTTTTTTTTTTCCTTCTTTCCCTGAGGCTTCTTTGCTCGTATTCCCCATTCTGATGGGGA